TAAACAAGTTGTTACCAAGCAAAAATCTTTTCACAATTTTGCTAAGGATGCTGAATTGCCCGAACTACAGGGGATTTTCTTGTCACGTGGAGTCCAAGCGCTTGCAACGAAAAAGTTATGTTCCGACCACTTCCCTCCGGAGGCTTTTAGAATTCCTGGAGGAAAGCATGCAGGGTAAGCAGTGTTCAAATTTTACCACATTGACCACACAACTCGATTGATTTCCGTTGTTTTGTCTTGTTTGTTTTGAATTGATTTGACAGTTCATTTGAATACATGGTCAACAAGGTCAACCAAAATTTTAGTTCAGTTAACTCGTTAATCGCACAAAGTGACAACTCGATTCGCAACAATCCGTGGCGCTAGTGTTTCCAACGTATTTTAATTTGGATTCTTACACATAATTTTTCGAAAAAATTGTTAAAGCTTGGATGTCTGTTCTCTGTGTTGATAAGTAGAACAATGTTTGTTTGGTCGCAAGACAATTGTGAACCAAAAATTGTGTCCATCCAAATTTATCTCACAAGAGACCATGCTTGGCATGCACAGTTGTACACACCAACTGCTCAGTTGTTAATAACTTTTCACTCAGTTGTTGAAAGTTAGTTTTCTTTAAAGTAATTGATAGATTAGGATCATAGTTTACTGTAAACATGCAAAGAATATCATTTGAATCAACACCAATAAATTTTTACACTTAAAGTCCGAGATGTGTAGCAGGCGTTTCTCACTTCATTTTTGCAACGCAAAATCAAATACAGTTTATTACTAGAACTAAAATCTGCATTTTTTACATATCTATAAAAAGCTTAAACTCTATTCTATCGACTGCTATGCCTGTTTTTTTCCAAAAACAGAATGAATTTATTTCGACAGGACTATAAGAACCAGTTTCAGCAAAAATTGCCAAAACGACCTTTTCAATATGTACAAAAGGGCGAACACGAAATTATTGCGACACCAAAAATGTCATGCCAATTTTCTTATAATGTTTAGAATCAAACCAAAATTTTAGGGTAGTTTTATACATATATTTACTTAAAAAATCAAAAGAAACGTTAATCGATGGAGCCTTGAGTGTAAAATTGAACGCATTTTCGCTGGATGCCCTCCATCAAAGTCTTTACAGTGTCATCCGGTACCAGTTTCCCAGTTTTTTTTTTTTCCATTTTCTTAACATGTCCTTCTCGTCTTTGACTGTCTTCTTGCTCTTCCGAAGTTCCCGCTTCATTATTGCCCAGTACTGCTCCACCGGGCGCAGCTCCGGACAGTTTGGCGGATTCATATCCTTTGGAACAAAATGGACAGAATTGGCCTCATACCACTCCAGGACACTTTTAGAATAGTGGCATGATGCCAAATCTGGCCAAAATAGCGGAGCTTCGTCGTGCTGCTGCAAGAACGGTAAAAGGCGCCTCTCGAGGCAGTCAGATTTGTAGATCTCGCCATTTACTGTGCCCTTTGTCACGAAAGGCTCACTCCTCAGTCCGCAAGAGCAGATGGCCTGCCAAATGAGATATTTGGAGGCGAACTTCGACATTTTCTTCTTCTTAAATTTGTCGTCCACATCGAACTTGCTCTTGCCGGTGAAAAACTCCAACCCCGGAATTTGCTTAAAATCGGCTTTTATATACGTTTCGTCGTCCATCACACAGCAGCCATATTTTCAGCATCTTCTCGTAGAGCTTCCGTGCCCGAGTTTTAGCCGTCGATTGTTGCCGCTCATCGTGGTTTGGGAAGTTCTGTACCTTGTATGTATGTAGTCCAGCTCTCTTCTTTGCATTATGGACGTAGCTCTGCAACATGCCGATCTTTTTAGCCAAATCACGGCTTGAGACGTTGGGATTTGCTTTAATCATCCGCTTCACCTTTCCCTCCGTCTTTTTGTTCTCCGGTCCCGGTTTTCTTCCAACTCCTTTGCCGTGGTTCAACGTCAACCGCTCCTGGAACCGCTTCAACACTCTGGAGACAGTTGAATGGTGAATGTTCAACATTTTTCCCAACTGCCGGTGCGACAGGTCAGGAAATTCCAGGTGTTTGGAAAGAATTTGTTCTCTCAACTCGCGTTGGTTCACCTCCATTTTCGTTGAATCGAAAAACACGACTTCGAGTTTGACAGCATGTACACAATACACATCAATGAGAAAGTGTGCGAAATTTGGTTGATTTTTACCCAATGGTAAAAAGTTATGCCCTGTTGAATGTGTCGCAATAATTTCGTGTTCACCCTTTAGCACCACCTAGCGAGTGAGCTACTAAGCAAAACGTCAACCATTTGTTTTCCGTCGATCTTGTTTTCCGTACTGAGCACCAATGCTACCGAAGCCAGGGAGGCAGCTCCCACACCTGGACCCTACCTATCGACCCATCAACTCATGGACCGGAGACCAACGGCTTTACTTCCCCCGAAGGAAGGCGTGATCAGAGATATTTTGCCTCAGAACATCCTGGCGGCGCCGACTGGAATTGAGCTCAGGCCCTTTTTGGTGAGAACTAATCACGCCACCGGCGCCGCATCAACCATGACAGAGGCACAAATATTCTGAGCCATCTTGTTCCAATATTAAAATATTACCAGAAAATGTACTGCACTGAGTTAACTTACCCCGCATAATTAAAATTAATCGAATCATTACCGACTTATTGATTTCCACCCTTAATCCACAACAAACAACGATCGCATTGACTGACCAACGCTCATAATCGCCACCCTACATCGATGGGACGCAAATAGCCATTGAAAACCTCCCACAAATAACGGCCAATCCCACACACCCACCCTTTGACGTGGGAAATTAATTGCCGTCAGTCAATGCACTTCCAATGAATTTATTTTCTCACAATTAGTGAAATTGAATTTGAAATTTATACACCTTCCAGCTAAATCTAGCACCACGTGCCGATACAATGCAATCGAGGCAAGAAGAAAGGTGATGAATCCTGCCTGTCATTAGACTAATCATCCCTTTATCTTGTCCTTTCTAGCCTGCCACACTTGCCCCGTAAAAGTTTGTCCCGTCAATCTATATTGGAAAATAGCAAACAGGGGGAAATCATCATTCAGAGGGAAACTTGTTTGGGGGATGTTTGGAATCCGATGCGAAACTTTGCCCCGCACTGGAAGTCGTTTGTCATAGGCATTTGAAGGATTATGTGATGAAAAGGACTTTCCGCACGGCATGGATTGCGGTTGGAAAGGATAATTAAGGAGATTTATGATTAACTATTTATAAATGTCAGCTGTTGACGACCTTTTTCAAAAGGATTTAGATTTCAACAAAGAGGTTCACCGAAAATTCTCAATATCCCAACGAAACGGATGCAACGAAAAGAGTCTGTGAAAAATCTCGCTGAACAAAAATAGTGGGAATTAGATTTCAGCAATTTGCTCCAGCCCTGTTTTGCAGAAAATTGCTGCAGATTTGGCTCGCCCCACTTGCTATAAGGATGAAGAAAAAAATCGACGAGATTGTGCGCGTGCTTCATCCCCACCTCATCCAAAGAGCTCCAGACTATGTGATAACACTGCAGATGAAATCGGAAATATGGATTCCACTTTATGTGAGCAAAAGTACAACAACAAAAGCACCAGAGGAGAACGAGGAAAAAGCAAAACTTCGTAAACGATTGTATTGCTATCTTTTATATGATTTGACCTTTTTCCCTCTTAACCGGATCCCCACTGATTCGAGCCCTTCCAGCTGAATGCCTCCCAACGCTTTTCGGAATCGTTTTTATTTTGCTACCATTTGGGGAAACAGAGGGTAAAAAGAAAAGCTTTTCCACCCACCCTTAGTTCTGTATGTGTGTTATTGGTCCGGAGTTCGAGATTGCTATTTCATCCCATCCCGTACACATTCTTGAACCTTTGGCCGGAAATCCGTTCCGAATTTCACACAGACACACCGAAATTCGCAGCAACACAATAGCCGGGCCGGAATGTAATGTGGGTGGTTTTCAACACGAGCACAAATCTACTGAACTGAAACTGCTACACTTTTTTATGGCCCACTTTTGGAAGATTAATGAAATCTGAGAGTTGGTGGAAAAAGCTACACACTCCCGGCCCGGATGAGATTTTGGAAAATATCTGCTGCTGCTGACGACGGTCAGCCATCATAAACTCGTAAAAAGTGTACGTTTATGGCGGTATGCGGTGTGGTCGTCAGTGCTTTTGTAAGATTTGAGGAGGATCGTCAAAGCTGTGCCTGATGGCCGAGTCGCTCCGGCCAAGTGGAACAATAAATGGTTCACTGAGCCAGAGCGCCATCAACGCAGCAGCCATAGCATCCGGAACGGTGTCGGATACGTTTTAAGGGACCCCTATAATGTTCCGGATTTTGTCGGAACTTGGAGCGCTTTATGGTTTTCCAAGAACTATGTTTATGAGTTTTACAAGAGTCGTTACAACCGTGGGATGATGGTTGCAGTAAATTTCTTTGAACTTTTAGCATGGGGTAGCACTTTTGGCAGTAAATGACGGACATAATCGACCTGATGGTTTCAATAATCGACTAAAAACTAAGAATCTATAACCGCCTCCCTTAGCTCAGTCGGTAAAGACGCAGCTACAAAGCAAGACCATGCTGGAGGTGGCTGGGTTCAATTCTCGGTCCGGCCTAGGAATTTTTCGGGTTGGAAAATTTCTCGACTTCCCTGGGCATAGAAGTATGATTGGACTTGCCACACAATTATACTAATGCAAAAATGGTACAGGCATCGAAAGCTCTCAATTAATAACTGTGGAAGTGTATCTAGAACACTAAGTTGAGGGCACGCAATAAGCTAATTTGCGATATGCAATAAGCTTGAAGAGTGAAGAAGAAGAAGATATCCGCCTTCCGTATCGCTTGTTGATGAACTAACAGCCGTTGCTGTCACAATTAAGCTACCATCTCAGTTGAATCCACAATCTGGCCCTAATTTCTCAAATTCCTATTTGATTTGTTTCTATTGTACATACTAACGAATATTTCTTTCCTTTTTCCCTCTCCTTACAG